GCTGCCTTGGCACCGAGCCTGCTGGGTTTATTGCCCTGACCGCCGGGGCATCCCCATGCCTCCTTCCTCCGGGGAAAGGAAAAGTAGCTGTTCTGAAATGCGGAGTGACAGAGGGTAGTATTTGTTTGCTTCTTGCAAAATGCCCAGCGTTTCAGTGTTTGGAATTAAACGTGGGAAGTACGGAAAGCAGATGGAGAACTGTCATGTGCAACTGTGATAATTGTTTTTTTTTTCCTTGAGCAATAGAGCCTTTCACATCTATACTGCTTTCCTGTTTTTAACATTATTTTACACGTATTTATACTTGTTATTTTACAATAAACTTCAGTCAGTTTATGTTCATTAAAAATACTGCAGTTTTTCTTTGAGGTAACTAAATTGTTTTATTCTAAGAGAAGAAAAAAAAACCTGTTAGCAAAAGACTAGATTCCTATGGTATAAACAGTGAGGTAAGTTCAAAGAACCATAAACCAGAGACATGCTGTGCAGTGAAGAGGCTCCGTCTGCCCTTCTATGTCTGGCTCAGCCATTCCTCAGACCTCCTCTGAGCCTAGCTAGGCTACTGCTCCAAACATGCACCTACAGTGTAGCTAACAAACCCTGCCTCTAAGCGCTGACTTGAGGCAGCAACCTGCTAACAGGGCTGCTCTGTTTCAAAATCTGAACTGGTATACCAGAATAGGGCTGCATATGCAAGCCTCTGGTGTAGCCAGAGAGGTCGTACACTGCAGACACAGTTAAGGTCAGCTGTAGTCGAGAGTGGTAGGCTGAGCTCAGCAAGAGTGCTTCTGGGTGAAACTAAATTCTTGCAGAATTTTAGAATCATTTGTGCATGTTCATTATTCTGTGATAAATGGAAAGAAAGAAAGGAAAGAAAGGAGGAAAGATCTGGCTCAGAATTTGCTACTCGGCCTCTGCTAATTCCCAATTTTAACGTGCAAAAGGCAAGCAAAACAGGAACAATGCTAGGAATGGAATCTATAGCTGAGCTCAAATTTCAAAAATTTTATCCACCCCCCAAAAAGATTTGGGGTATGGTTATATAATTAGTAATGAAGCTATCTCTTCATCATACTGTTTTATTTTACCACTGTGCATACACTGTTGGTTTAAAAAGAGAAATAAATTATGTTTATCAAAAAATACTTCTCTTAGCTTCAAAACATTATAAAAGTATTGTCAGTAACTTGTAGATGAATATTTAGGGAGGAAAAAATAGTTGTTGATATAAATATATTATCATTACAAATATGTTTACTGCTGATCAGTTGCTGCTTGTTTTAAGGTCTGTATTTTTTGTTCCTTTATTCCTCTCTTCAGGATTTGGAATGCTTTAACTGATAATTATGGTAACGTAATGCCAGTTGACTGGAAATCTTCCCACACCAGAGCTTTGCACTTGCCAACACTGAATCTTTCAGAAAAAGGAGTAAGTTTTGATCAGCAGAATTACTCTCTTTGGATCTTTTATACTCAGCAGGGAAATAAAACAATTTGCGTTTGTATGAAAGAGTGATGTTATTAAATGGCTTTAAATATTTTTTTAGTGCTTGGCATTATGCATGAGAGGTTTTTAAAAATCAAAAAATCAAGCAACCATTGATGTATGTGTGCATCTCCTTGGATTGGAATAATTCGGGGTTAGTTTTAGATGGATGTTCATTAGAACCAGAGCATGATAGAAAAAAAATCTAAAATGAGAAAGTGTTTCACATAGTCTTTCTGCCATCTGTTTCATGTTGAACACTATTCTGGGTAAGGGAGGAAAGGAGGTGGGAGTACTCTGATTTAGTAAATCCAGTGTGGACTTTCTTAAAATTCATCTCATTCTGCAGTCAGGTGGAGACTAAAGTGGCTTCTTTTGTGGGGAAGGTGACACAGGAGACACCGAAGTGCAAGTGTTTGGTTTGGTTTTCTTATTTAACAAGTCAAATAGTTGTCTGGGGAGGGAGCAGGGAATGAAGAGCCTCAGAGAGGTTTATAGAAAGGGTTGTCCTCTGATCTTCTTAAAAGTGGATTAAAACGCTTCAGGAAGAAAAGCTGGGAAGAATTCCTATCTCCCAGGTCTTCTGAGGAAACGAGTGGCTTATCTTTTAACCATAGCGCCGTTACGTTGTAAAAATACCTGTGTGTGTAACCTGAAAATAGGGTACTGCTTTGACTTCTGCCATCCATTATATAATCCACAGCTACTTTTTACTGTGACAGGAACAAAGATTATTCTGCTGAAGAGAATACTTGGG